ACTCCTATTGCTTTTGGACTTTAGCGCTAAATTACGCATTCGGGGTTTGCGTTCACTTATTGCGTCAATGTGCGTGTGGCGTGCGCTTGTCTATAGCCTGAGGTTAATCTACAGCTGTGTAGTTTGAAGTGCACAGATATGGGATGAAAATACGCTACGATTACATTCAAAGATGATGCTACTATTGCTGGTCCTTCTACGCGTGGAGGGTCTCTCTCTTCTCAACAAAGAGAGTGTATTGGATGTATAAAAAAACACACTGGGCGACTACGCGTTCATTCCTGCTGCTCTGTAACTTGTCATGCAACACTGGAATTTCCTCCCAACGTGTGACGAATGCAGCATATGCCTCGGTCCTGGTCCCAGCAGAAGGAGATCACGCCTCATTCACGAAACAGTGTGCGTTTGGAAACACAAAGAAAGAGGAAAGTCCTGGAGGAGGCTGCGATAGTCCCGGTCCGTGCCCATCCCGAGGCAGGGGTGAGATGGGGGATCCGTGTGGGGGTCAGGGGGGGGTCTAGCCCGGGTGTGGAGGTAGCAGCGATCCGCCTGGAGAGCCTCTAGTCACGGGCTCAGGAGCAGGGAGCGGTAGGTGCCTGCGGGATGATGCATTAAACATGAGGAAGCAGCTCAGAGCGCCTCCTCTTCCTGGTTCTCTCTCCTGGTCCTCTCTCTTATTTCTCTCCAGGTTCTCTCTCCTGGTTCTCTCTCCTGGTCCTCTCTCCTGGTTCTCTCTCCTGGTTCTCTCTCCTGGTCCTCTCTCCTGGTTCTCTCTCCTGGTTCTCTCTCCTGGTTCTCTCTCCTGGTCCTCTCTCCTGGTTCTCTCCCCTGGTTCTCTCTCCTGGTCCTCTCTCCTGGTTCTCTCTCCTGGTCCTCTCTCCTGGTCCTCTCTCCTGGTTCTCTCTCCTGGTTCTCTTTCCTGGTTCTCTCTCCTGGTTCTCTCTCCTGGTTTTCTCTCCTGGTTCTCTCTCCTGGTTCTCTCCTGGTCCTCTCTCCTGGTCCTCTCTCCTGGTTCTCTCTCCTGGTCCTCTCTCCTGGTCCTCTCTCCTGGTCCTCTCTCCTGGTTTTCTCTCCTGGTTCTCTCTCCTGGTTCTCTCTCCTGGTTCTCTCTCCTGGTTTTCTCTCCTGGTCCTCTCTCCTGGTCCTCTCTCCTGGTCCTCTCTCCTGGTTCTCTCTCCTGGTTCTCTCTCCTGGTCCTCTCTTTTATTTCTCTCCTGGTTCTCTCTCCTGGTTCTCTCTCCTGGTTCTCTCTCCTGGTTCTCTCTCCTGGTCCTCTCTCCTGGTCCTCTCCTGGTCCTCTCTCCTGGTCCTCTCTCCTGGTTCTCTCTCCTGGTTCTCTCTCCTGGTCCTCTCTTTTATTTCTCTCCTGGTTCTCTCTCCTGGTTCTCTCTCCTGGTTCTCTCTCCTGGTTCTCTCTCCTGGTCCTCTCTCCTGGTCCTCTCCTGGTTCTCTCTCCTGGTCCTCTCTCCTGGTCCTCTCCTGGTCCTCTCTCCTGGTCCTCCCATCCACAGACAGGTGCACGCAGCAGGGACAGACATATGATACTGCACTGGTTTGAGCAGGTGCTGGATTAAAGCTCGGGGACGTAACTTTAAAACCACAACAACAGAACTCGCTTCAGACAGAAAGATAGGACCCCCCTCTCTCAGCCAATCAACTCTCAGCCCTAAGAGGCAGATAGTGACTCACAGGGCAGTTATAGAGAAGTAACAGTAGCAGCAGTTGCAGTAGTCGTAGCAGTAGTAGTAGTAGCAGTAGCAGCAGTAGCAGTAGCGGCAGTAGCAGTAGCAGTAGTAGCAGTAGCAGTAGCAGTAGTAGCAATAGTAGCAGTAGCAGTGGTAGTAGTAACAGTAGACGCAGCAGAAGTACCAGCAGTAGTAGTAGTAGTAGTAGTAGACGCAGCAGCAGTAGTAGTAGTACCAGTAGTAGTAGTAGTTGTTGTAGCAGTAGTAACAGTACCAGTAGTAGTTGTAGCAGTAGTAGCAGTAGTAGCAGTAGCAGTAGTAGTTGTAGCAGTAGCAGCAGTAGTAGTTGTAGCAGTAGCAGCAGTAGTAGTTGTAGCAGTAGTAGCAGTAGCAGTAGTAGCAGTAGCAGTAGCAGTAGTAGCAGTAGCAGTAGTAGGAGTAGCAGCAGTAGTAGTTGTAGCAGTAGTAGCAGCAGTAGAAAACATCAAATAGTGACTCACAGGGATCAGCACGCCTTCTGATGTCAGCGTCAGGAGCAGGACTTGAACCAACAACCTCCAGCCCAAATAAAACACACTCCACAGCATGAGCTACCCCCCCTGCAGAAGGCGCCGTGGGCTAAAGCAGACTCGGTCAGGGCACAAAAGAGAAAGTGCCGGAGGGCCGAGCGGAAGTGGCGCAAGTCCAACCTCCAGGTTGATTACGAGATCTTCAAAGATAAGTTGTGCGAGTTTAACCGGGTGCTACGTAGTACAAGAGAAAGGTATTTTTCTGAAATGATTGAAGGCTGCAGCAACAATCTGCGTGTTCTGTTTTCAACAGTTAATAGATTAACAAACCCCCCTGTTCAAATGCCATTAGAGCTTACTTCCAAACGTAAATGCAATGAGTTTGCTAATTTTTTCAATGACAAGGTTCAAGGCATCAAAAACGCCATTGTCTCCAATCCACAGATAACCATCCAACAGCCAGAAAGGCTCTCTGAGCTAACTTACTTTGCACCTGTAAATGATAAAACTGTCCAAGAAATAATCTCCAGTTTGAGCTCCTCCACATGCAGCTTGGATGTACTACCCACTAGATTTCTGAAGTCTGTTCTGAGCAGTCTGTTACCTTCACTCACACAGATAGTAAACATGTCCCTTGATTCTGGAATATTCCCAAAGGCCCTGAAAACTGCAGTCATCAGGCCCCTGCTAAAAAAGAGCAGTCTGGATGCTACGGTACTTAACAACTATCGTCCCATCTCAAATCTGCCATTTATGGGGAAAGTCCTTGAGAAAGTTGTCTACCTACAGCTTACTAGATTTCTTATAATCAACAACTCATTTGATATGTTTCAGTCCGGCTTTAGACCCCACCACAGCACTGAGACTGCTCTCGTTAAGGTTACAAACGATATCCGGCTGAACACTGACGCAGGCAAAGTCTCAATCTTAATCCTGTTAGATCTGAGTGCTGCCTTTGACACTGTCGACCATGAGATCCTCTTACAGAGACTAGAGGACTGGGTTGGCGTCGCTGGCTCCGCCCTAAGTTGGTTTAGGTCTTACCTTGAAGACAGGAAATACTTTGAGGAGATTGGAAACTGTGTCTCAGATCATATGGCCCTGACCTGTGGAGTCCCACAGGGGTCGATCCTGGGACCTCTTCTGTTCAATCTCTACATGCTGCCGTTAGGTCAGTTAATACGCAGAAACAAAGTTTCCTATCATAACTATGCAGACGACACTCAGATCTATGTCTCACTGACTGCAGGAGAACATGGACCAGTGGACTCACTCCTTCACTGTATCCAACAGATCAGTGAGTGGATGCAAAACAACTTCCTTCAGCTAAACGCAGACAAAACTTACATGATTGTCTTTGGTCCCCAGAAACAAAGAGAGAGCGTCATCTGTCATCTACAGTCTCTCTCCCTAAAACCTTCAAACAAGGTCAGAAATCTAGGGGTAATACTGGACTCAGACTTAAATTTTAATCGCCACATCAAATCAGTAACATCAGCAGCTTTTTACCATCTAAAAAACATCGCCAGGATCAAAAACATAGTGTCTAAAGCAGACCTGGAGATTCTTATCCATGCATTTGTCTCCAGTAGGTTAGACTACTGCAATGGCCTGCTCACAGGTCTGTCCAAACAGGCTGTAAAACAGCTGCAGTACATTCAAAATGCAGCAGCTCGAGTCCTGACTAGAACCAGGAAGTACGACCACATTAGTCCTGACTAGAACCAGGAAGTACAACCATATTAGTCCTGACTAGAACCAGGAAGTACGACCACATTAGTCCTGACTAGAACCAGGAAGTACGACCACATTAGTCCTGACTAGAACCAGGAAGTACGACCACATTAGTCCTGACTAGAACCAGGAAGTACGACCACATTACTCCTGACTAGAACCAGGAAGTACGACCACATTAGTCCAGTCCTCAGGTCCCTGCACTGGCTTCCTGTGGCTCAGAGAATAGACTTTAAAACAGCTCTGCTTGTGTACAAGTCTCTCCATGGCCTCGCACCAAAATATATTAGTGACATGTTAGTCCCATATGAACCAGCCCGGACTCTGAGGAGCACAGGGACTGGACTCCTGCTGGGACTCTGAGGAGCACAGGGACTGGACCCCTGCTGGGACTCTGAGGAGCACAGGGACTGGACTCCTGCTGGGACTCTGAGGAGCACAGGGACTGGACTCCTGCTGGGACTCTGAGGAGCACAGGGACTGGACCCCTGCTGGGACTCTGAGGAGCACAGGGACTGGACTCCTGCTGGGACTCTGAGGAGCACAGGGACTGGACTCCTGCTGGGACTCTGAGGAGCACAGGGACTGGACTCCTGTTAGTGCCCAGAGTCAGAACTAAACATGGGGAGGCTGCTTTTCAGATTCATGCTGCTAAAATCTGGAACAATCTTCCTGAAGATGTGAGACAGGCCTCCTCTCTGACAATGTTTAAAACCAGGTTAAAGACAGTTCTGTTTAGCTGTGCATACAACTGAGGGATTTATATTTTTATCTTTCCTTTTAATGTTCTGTGATTATTTATGATTTTAATGCTTTCTTGTTTTGTTCAGCACTTTGAGTTGCCTTGTGTATGAATTGTGCTATATAAATAAACTTGCCTTGCCTTACCTTTTACCCCTCTCTCCTCCTCCCTCTCTCCTCCCTCCTTTCCACTCCTCCCTCTCTCTCCCTCTTTTCCTCTCCTCCCCATCTACCCCCTTTCTCTTTCTCTCTCCTACCTGCATCCATCTCCGTCTTACCAGTCCTCCCTCTCCCCCTCTTCTCTCCCTCTTCACCAGACACATTATAACCTTTCCTTCCACAGCAGCCGATAAACATCACGACTCGAGCAATCAAGAGCCTTAGACCCTTCAGCTGCTCAGCCCACAGCACCTCAGCCTCAGACCCTTCAGCTGCTCAGTCCACAGTACCTCAGCATTAGGCCCTTCAGCTGCTCAGTCCACAGCACCTCAGCCTCAGACCCTTCAGCTGCTCAGTCCACAGTACCTCAGCCTCAGACCCTTCAGCTGCTCAGTCCACAGTACCTCAGCATTAGGCCCTTCAGCTGCTCAGTCCACAGTACCTCAGCATTAGGCCCTTCAGCTGCTCAGTCCACAGTACCTCAGCATTAGGCCCTTCAGCTGCTCAGTCCACAGCACCTCAGCATTAGGCCCTTCAGCTGCTCAGTCCACAGTACCTCAGCATTAGGCCCTTCAGCTGCTCAGTCCACAGTGCCTCAGCCTCAGACCCTTCAGCTAATCAGTCCACAGCACCTCAGCCTCAGACCCTTCAGCTAATCAGTCCACAGCACCTCACCCTCAGACCCTTCAGCTGTTCGGAGGTTGATTGACAGGTGAGAGGGAGGGAGGCTGGAAATGTCAGGGAGCTTTTCACAACTCGACCTGCGGCTCACATCTGCTCAGACGTGCCACATGTCACCTCTGCGTCTGTGGGAGAGAGGAGGGGGGAGGAGGGGGGAGAGGAGAGGAGGGGGGGGGGGCGGTTGGAGGGGGGAGAGGAGAGAGAGAGGAGAGGGAGGAGAGGGGAGGAGGAGGGGGGAGAGGAGAGGGCGGAGGAGGAGATGAGAGAGGAGAGGGAGGAGAGAGAGGGAGGAAAGAGGAGGAGAGGAGAGGGAGGAGAGAGGAGAGGAGAGGGAGGAGAGAGAGGGAGGAAAGAGGAGGAGAGGAGAGGGAGGAGAGAGGAGAGGAGAGGGAGGAAAGAGAGGGAGGAGAGAGGAGGAGAGGAGCTTCTATCTGCTCTGGTGTCTGCTCCACAAACACCTCTGAAGGAGAAGTGTTTGTGAAGAGTCTCCTGCTGGGACTCTGAGGAGCACAGGGACTGGCCTCCTGCTGGGACTCTGAGGAGCACAGGGACTGGCCTCCTGCTGGGACTCTGAGGAGCACAGGGACTGGTCTCCTGCTGGGACTCTGAGGAGCACAGGGACTGGCCTCCTGCTGGGACTCTGAGGAGCACAGGGACTGGTCTCCTGCTGGGACTCTGAGGAGCACAGGGACTGGCCTCCTGCTGGGACTCTGAGGAGCACAGGGACTGGTCTCCTGCTGGGACTCTGAGGAGCACAGGGACTGGTCTCCTGCTGGGACTCTGAGGAGCACAGGGACTGGTCTCCTGCTGGGACTCTGGGAGCACAGGGACTGGCCTCCTGCTGGGACTCTGAGGAGCACAGGGACTGGCCTCCTGCTGGGACTCTGAGGAGCACAGGGACTGGCCTCCTGCTGGGACTCTGAGGAGCACAGGGACTGGCCTCCTGCTGGGACTCTGAGGAGCACAGGGACTGGCCTCCTGCTGGGACTGGCCTCCTGCTGGGACTCTGAGGAGCACAGGGACTGGCCTCCTGCTGGGACTGGCCTCCTGCTGGGACTCTGAGGAGCACAGGGACTGGCCTCCATCCATCCATGTATCTCTCTAATCACAGATCAAAGACTAAATTCTATAATGTACCGTTCAGGTTCACAAAACTGTTTCAATCTGAAGAGACCAAAGACACGATAAATACATTAAAATGATTTATTTGTTTGGCGCATTGACCCCGGCAGTGACACTTGCAGCTATGAGATCGATTGCAGCTGAGATGATCTCAGATCCCCCGGGGTCAATCACTGGTGGTGGCTAGAGTATGGTGTGAATGGGGCGTAGGCGGAGCAGGAGCCGGAGTGGGAGCCTAGAGCGGGAGCCAGAGCGGGAGCCAGAGCGGGAGCCAAGAGCCAGAGGGGGTGCTGGGGAGGTGGTGGGTGTTTAAGAGCCTCAGGAAGCGTTGTTTGTCAGGAAGTGGCTGCCTTTTAAACTGCCCGCTTTGCTCTGAGAGGGTTGGCAGGAGGCTGGCCTGGCTGTGTGATTGGCTGAGGCTCGAGGCTGGCAGAGCTGTGTGATTGGCTGAGGCTCGAGGCTGGCAGGCACTCGGTCTTTCAGTCTGAACATCCGCTTGAGCTTCATTTCAATCTGAAGAGACCAAAGACACGATAAATACATTAAAATGATTTATTTGTTTGGCGCATTGACCCCGGCAGTGACACTTGCAGCTATGAGATCGATTGCAGCTGAGATGATCTCAGATCCCCCAAAAGAGGAAGCCACGCTATGTGTGCCGGGGAATGCGCAGGCCTCCCGTGGGAAGCTGCCTATCTGGAGGCGTGGGAGCCTTGCATCGGGGCAGCATTGCATCGGGGCAGCATTGCATCGGGGCAGCATTGCATCGGGGCAGCATTGCATGGAGGCTGCATTGCATGGAGGCTGCATTGCATGGAGGCTGCATTGCATGGAGGCTGCATTGCATAGATTGCATAGATTGCATGGAGGCTGCATTGCATAGATTGCATAGATTGCATAGAGGCAGCATTGCATAGATTGCATAGAGGCTGCATTGCATAGATTGCATAGATTGCATAGAGGCAGCATTGCATAGATTGCATAGAGGCAGCATTGCATAGATTGCATGGAGGCAGCATTGCATAGAGGCAGCATTGCATAGAGGCAGCATTGCATAGAGGCAGCATTGCATAGAGGCAGCATTGCATAGAGGCAGCATTGCATAGATTGCATGGAGGCAGCATTGCATAGAGGCAGCATTGCATAGATTGCATGGAGGCAGCATTGCATAGAGGCAGCATTGCATGGAGGCAGCATTGCATAGATTGCATAGAGGCAGCATTGCATGGAGGCAGCATTGCATAGATTGCATAGAGGCAGCATTGCATGGAGGCAGCATTGCATAGAGGCAGCATTGCATGGATTGCATAGAGGCAGCATTGCATAGAGGCAGCATTGCATCATTGCATGGAGGCAGCATTGCAGCATTGCATGGAGGCAGCATTGCATAGATTGCATGGAGGCAGCATTGCATAGAGGCAGCATTGCATGGATTGCATAGAGGCAGCATTGCATAGAGGCAGCATTGCATCATTGCATGGAGGCAGCATTGCATAGATTGCATGGAGGCAGCATTGCATAGAGGCAGCATTGCATGGAGGCAGCATTGCATGGAGGCAGCATTGCATGGAGGCAGCATTGCATGGAGGAAGCATAGCATGGAGGCAGCATAGCATGGAGGCAGAATTGCATGGAGGCAGCATAGCCTGGAGGCAGCATTGCGTGGAGGCTGCATTGTGTGGAGGCAGCATTGCCTGGAAGCAGAATTGCATGAATAGGATACAGAGAATATGCGGGGGTGACAAATCCGCACGCTCTGTAATGATTATGCGTGTGTGAAGCGTTGGCCCTTGGAGGGTGCGGAGGGTTTCTCGCGCACAGACCGCTTCGTGAGGGTGCATGTATGACGTAGGCCGCAGGGGATCTGTGGGAACAGACACTCACTGAATGAGCGGCTATGTGATCATGCGTGCGTGGTGGATGCATGAAGTGAAGAGTAAATGCGTGTAATCGCAGAGCTGATGCGGGCTCTGCGTGTTGAGAATGTGGAGCAGCAATGTAGAGAGCTTTCTCATACAAGATCTGCTATATTTGAGCATGCGTGTGTCAGCGTATGATACAGAGAATATGCGGGGGTGACGAGGCCGCACGCTCTGTAATGACTATGCGTGTAGAAGCGTGGGCCCTTGGGGCGTGCGGAGCTGCCTCTCGCGCACAGGCCGCTTCGTGAGGTGCGTGTATAGCGTGAGCCGTAGGGGGTTATGCAGAGAAGCTTCTCTGCACAGAGCGCTGCGGTGAGCATGAATGTATGAGGTAAGACAAGGTGATCATATGCATGTCCGGATTGAAGTGCAACGATGTTGAGAATGCTTATGTGAGAGAAGAGCCTTAGCCACCACCAGAGTATTTGATAATTACCTCAGATTGAAGAGGGAGCGCTGAGCAGTCAGAATAGTGTCAGTGTTTAGTCTGATAGAGGATGAGGCAGGACCAAGCCGTGGACCATTGACCCATTTGCTGTAGGGAAGAGTGAGGAAGGCCCAGCAGGCTGGAGTGCGGCGGCTATTCTAATCCAGCGGCCGGTATTGGAGAATCGGGAGATCACAGGAGACCGGCCGGATTTATTAAATGGGCTTGGATACATTGCGCAAACATGACGTCATTTGACAGAGAGAGAAATAGCAGCCCATCTGAATCTCCTCTCCGTGCATGGAGGAGTGCATTTCATCAGGTGTTTATCTGGACAGGGGAAAAATAATGCATAATGAAAGTGTGACGGCACCTTCCTTTCGGAGTGTTGAATGCAGGGATTATAGTGATAGGGGTAATAAGTCCTTGGGGCCAGGGTGCAGCTAACCACTGGCCTTGATATGACCCCCAAAAACCCACGGACTGAGCCGCGTCCGTGAAAAAATAATAAGTAAGTGGAAGAGGCGGTGCCATCATGAAAGACGCCGTTCCGGCAGGCAGCAGCTGAAGCTGAGGTCAGCGCAGCACCTGCGAACAGGAAAACAGGGTTGCAGAGCGCGCAGGAGCCTGGGGATGAACCACGGCCTGAGGAATGACGTGCACTGCGAGGATGAGGCGGCCCAGCCGGAAGAGCAGCACCTGTTTGGGACGTGACAGAGGACAGGACGGACCAAGAGACCTTGGTCCTCCTCCTCCTATCCCCTCTCTCTCCATGTCCAAGCTGAGGGAGCATCTACGAAACCTTCGATGAGGGTCATCACGTGTATGCCGGGTGGCCAGTGTGACGGCCAGACGCCTGCCCGGCTTGAGATGGACGAGCCCCGCGTAGGAAGGGCATGCCCCGCGCGGGAATGACAGGGCCTATTGCTACGAGAATAATTCGCAAGGCGCGGCCGTGCAGCAAGAGGGAGAGATTAAACAAGAACCGACCGAATCTCCTTCTGGACAGGAGAGAGCTATCTTGATGCAATTAGGAACTCAGAACGACGGCAAAGAGCGGCCACGGAGCAGAATAAGTACGAACAGAGCGGCACCTGTGAGAACGAGCAGTAGAGCGAGCAACCGTTACAATGACTCAGAGCCATGAGAGTGCGGCAGAGAGCATGTGACCGTTGTGGATGCTGCCCCCCGACTCCACGCGGAGAATCGGAGAGAGATCGCCCGTATGAGGCGTAGGGCGGATCAATTGCACGCGGTAGCAGTGAGGGAAGGCCAGAGCACGTGGAGGATCCGGAGCAAACCGGCACTATCTGGCATAGCCCCGGGTCCGGGTCCGCGGGGGTGCGTTGGCGGGTGCGGGTCGCCCATGCCCCCCCACACGCCCCCGGAGTGGCACCACCGACCCCTACCCAACACCCCTATTTAGCTATACCAAGCCCGCCGCCAGCTCAGGATCCACTGCAAACCCCACTTGCTCCTGCCCCTGGGCCCCGCCGGTCCCTCTATGCGCAATATACACCTTTACCCCGGCGGGGGCCTCGCGGAAATATATCCCGTACGCGGGCCGTTCAGTCGCCAACCTAGTCCGGTGGCCGACCCCGTACAGGCCGAAACCGCATTGGGCCAGGTACCCGAACTTACGGAATCTGCACAGCTCCTGGCCGATGGCAGAGACGACCTTGTCGTTCTCTAGCAACGATTCGCGGTAGCACTTCGAGCCCGACGGCACAAACACACCTTCAGACCGGGTTACGCCCCGTCTCTCTTGGCTGCGCAGAAGTAGAATGGACGACAGCGAAAAAGTATTTACGTGAACCAGATTCCCATAGGCCCTCCCGTAGTGGCCAGGTTGTTTTGAAATCGGAATAGCCCGACGACCAGCCGAAGGCTAACACACATCATTCCTTTGCCAAGCATTCTCCTCCTTACAATTACCCCGATTACACATAAGGGGCCCGTTTGACCTGCGCGCCCGAGCCAGCCCAGATGAGACGCGCCGAACGCGCGCATAGCATATAAAACCCTAGCATATAACATATACCTAATATATATGCACGCCGTTACTACGTCCCTACGATGTGCAAGCCCATATAAAGTCGAGTCCCTCCATGGCCTCGCACCCACCATATAGTAGCGCCCCAGTACGACCCCCCCATATGCAACCCCCAGCTCGGACCTCTGAGGCGCCCGGGGGGCCTGACACCTGTTCGTGTCCCGAGTATACCGCCCCCTACGTGGGTACGGCTGCTTACAGCAACCCCCTGCTCCCCATCTGGCCCACATTCTCCTGCAGAGATGCCGGGACGGCTCCTCTCTGACACGCTTAAAGACAAGGGTTCCACAAACTCAATTTCTATCCTTCTTATTAATGTTTCTGTGATTATCTATATTTTTATGCTTCTTATATTGTTCAGCACTGTTTGCTTGCCTTGTGTTAAGCATTGTGCTATACATACTAAACTTGGCATGCTTGCTATACAACATGCATTCAAAACGCCTTTGCGCGAGACCAGGGCATGAAGCTAACGCACTTTCTCACCTTTAATGGGAGCGTCCAAAATCAGACAGGCGGTCAACACTGCAGATTCCCCTCAACCCACTGCGGCGCCCACTACATAGGCCTTTCTTTGTCTAGGGAGCAACCAAATCAGAGAGGCGCCCGCGCAGCCGACTTCCTATTCACCCTGCCCGTGGCCCACACTGTCCGTTAAGCCTCGGAGGACGGACCGATCATATTAAGCTTAATACGACCAATTCGGGCACTTAGAAGGGGAGCTGAGATCGGGAAGCCTCCCCCACTGTCAATTTGCCTGCCCCCCCGCCCCGCAGGAGTTTGAACTGTCTCCGGTAGTCTGGAGGAGCCTTGAGCAGCCGTGACCGGAGCCCAGGGCGTGATTCAGGCGCCGGCGCAATAAGCCAGACGAGCAGAATCAGCGGGGTCCCCCTCCGGCCCAGACCCCCCCCCCCCAACCGAAGGCCCGGGCCAATCACGGGCCCGGGGACAAGCGTCGACGCAACCCCAAAAGCAGATTCATACGGCAACACCAGACCAGTCACGCCGCGTGCGCGCTTGACTCTGTGAGCCGGTTCACATAACGAGTCTGAAAGAGCCGTAGTCGTAGAGAGGTGCAGCCTATGGGGCCTGGGCCTGCGGCTGGAAAGGAACAGCAGCAGCGGCCGTGTCGTCGTCGGAGCCGCCGGGAGCCCGGCAGCAGCCGGAGCGGCAGCGGAGCACGCATCGCGCCAGGAGCGGCCCGCGAACCGGCCGCAGCCGTCGCTGGCCAGGGAACGGCCCGCAGCGGGACCAGGCATCAGTTCGGAGCCGCTCGGCGAGGCCAGAGGGCCCCGGCAGCATCAGTGCGCGGCGCGCCGGCACAGGCCGCCCGAGGAGCGGGCAGCGGATAGGCAGCCGCCGGAGCCGGCAGCAGGAACAGGCCTGCAGCGGCAGCGGCAGCCGGCCCGGCCTCAGTTCGGCGCCGCAGTGCGCACGGCAGCAGGGACAGCAGCGGAAGGAGCGTAGGTAGCATGGCAGCAGGAACGGCAGCAGCGCGGGCCCAGCGCATCAGTAGGAGCGAGACCAGAGAGAGACCAGAGAGAGACCAGAGAGAGACCAGAGAGAGAGACCAGAGAGAGAGACCAGAGAGAGAGACCAGAGAGAGAGACCAGAGAGAGACCAGAGAGAGACCAGAGAGACCAGAGAGACCAGAGAGAGACCAGAGAGAAACCAGAGAGAGAGACCAGAGAGAGACCAGAGAGAGACCAGAGAGAGACCAGAGAGAGACCAGAGAGACCAGAGAGAGAGACCAGAGAGAGACCATAGAGAGACCAGAAAGAGACCAGAGAGAGACCAGAGAGAGACCAGACAGAGACCAGAGAGAGACCAGAGAGAGACCAGAGAGAGACCAGAGAGAGGACCAGAGAGAGACCAGAGAGAGAGCAGGGAGAGACCAGAGAGAGACCAGAGAGAGACCAGAGAGAGACCAGAGAGAGAGACCAGAGAGAGACCAGAGAGAGAGACCAGAGAGAGACCAGAGAGAGACCAGAGAGACCAGAGAGACCAGAGAGAGACCAGAGAGAAACCAGAGAGAGAGACCAGAGAGAGACCAGAGAGAGAGACCAGAGAGAGACCAGAGAGAGACCAGAGAGAGACCAGAGAGAGACCAGGGAGAGACCAGAGAGAGACCAGAGAGAGACCAAAGAGAGACCAGAGAGATACCAGAGAGAGACCAAAGAGAGACCAAAGAGAGACCAGAGAGAGACCAGAGATGGACCAAAGAGAGACCAGAGAGAGAGACCAGAGAGAGACCAGAGAGAGAGACCAGAGAGAGACCAGAGAGAGACCAGAGAGAGAGACCAGAGAGAGACCAGAGAGACCAGAGAAAGACCAGAGAAAGACCAGAGAGAGACCAGAGAGAGACCAGAGAGAGACCAAAGAGAGACCAGAGAGATACCAGAGAGAGACCAAAGAGAGACCAAAGAGAGACCAGAGAGAGACCAGAGAGAGAGACCAGAGAGAGACCAGAGAGAGACCAGAGAGACCCGAGAGAGACACGAGAGAGACCAGAGAGAGACCAGAGAGAGACCAGAGAGAGACCAGAGAGAGACCAGAGAGAGACCAGACAGAGACCAGAGAGAGACCAGAGAGAGACCAGAGAGAGACCAGAGAGAGAGCAGGGAGAGACCAGAGAGAGACCAGAGAGAGACCAGAGAGAGACCAGAGAGAGAGACCAGAGAGAGACCAGAGAGAGAGACAAGAGAGAGACCAGAGAGAGACCAGAGAGACCAGAGAGACCAGAGAGAGACCAGAGAGAAACCAGAGAGAGAGACCAGAGAGAGACCAGAGAGAGACCAGAGAGAGACCAGAGAGAGAGACCAGAGAGAGACCAGAGAGAGACCAGAGAGAGACCAGAGAGAGACCAGGGAGAGACCAGAGAGAGACCAGAGAGAGACCAAAGAGAGACCAGAGAGATACCAGAGAGAGACCAAAGAGAGACCAAAGAGAGACCAGAGAGAGACCAGAGAGAGACCAGAGAGGGACCAAAGAGAGACCAGAGAGAGAGACCAGAGAGAGACCAGAGAGAGAGACCAGAGAGAGACCAGAGAGAGACCAGAGAGACCAGAGAAAGACCAGAGAAAGACCAGAGAGAGACCAGAGAGACCAGAGAGAGAGACCAGAGAGAGACCAGAGAGAGACCAGAGAGACCAGAGAGAGACCAGAGAGAGACCAAAGAGAGACCAGAGAGATACCAGAGAGAGACCAAAGAGAGACCAAAGAGAGACCAGAGAGAGACCAGAGAGAGACCAGAGAAAGACCAGAGAGGGACCAGAGAGAGACAAAGCTTGCCTTCATGCTCAAACCCAAACAGTCTTTTTACAATTGTTTAAGGAAATACATCTTCACGGCTACAATGAATCATAATAATAATAATAATAAAAACATGTATAGACTCATCACGACCAGGAGGAGGCCAGTTTGTACTAAAAGTCTGGATATAACAATTATATCGACTGCAAAGAAAAGCAGATCGTATAAACCTTTGTCTGATCAACGTCATTTCACCAGTTTCTTTGTGTCGCTCTGGTTTGGGTTTTGGGTTTTTAAACTTATTTTATACATTCAATACTTATGTATTTTTGGTCTTGATCCTTGTTATTAGAATATAAATGAGGAGAAATACTCACTGGTCTTGGTCCTGGTCTTGGTCCTGGTCTTGGTCCTGGTCTTGGTCCTGGTCCTGATCCTGGTCCTGGTCCTGGTCCTTGTCCTGGTCCTTGTCCTGGTTCTGGTCCTGGTCCTGGTCCTGGTCCTGGTCTTGATCCCTGTTATTCTAACATAAATGAGGAGAAATACTCACTGCGTCAGTCCGGTCTAGCAGGTCTCTGCTGGTGTCTGGATCCAGGTCCAAGGTGCAGCTTTATGGTCCCAAGAGGAAGTCCTGGGACTGACTCAGGACCAGAGCAGGACACACTTTAAACCTGTGGTCTCCAACATTTGTTATGTTTTACTTAAGCTTTATTTAACCAGGAAAAATCCCATTGAGATTAAGAATGTCTTTTCCGAGGGCGTCCTGGCCAAGAGGCAGCAAAGTTACACATAAACACAACAGAGAGACACAATGACATTCAAAATGACAGGTTCAGACGACACACATCAAGTAAAACATTTACAGGTGATTGAGGCCGTCTCCAAAACTCTAAGTTTGGATTTAAGAGCCTTCAACGACAAAAGCTCGGTCAGTTTCCAGTCTCGCTGGAGCATGTTCCGAGCAGAAGGAGCTGTAGGACAAAAGGCACAGTCAGTAACAGCTGCTCATTGGACCTCAGAGCATAAGACTCTGTGCTCCTCTGTGTGAGTGATGTACAGAGGTCAGAGGTCAGGAGTCCCAGAACAGCCTTGTAAATAAAGGTGTACCAATGACACTGCCTCCTAGTGGACAGAGAGCGTACAGCTCACAGTGTCAGAGCTCTACAGTTTGTGATGAACCTCAGGGAAGCATGATAGAGTCCAGCTTTTCAACACACCAAGAGGTAGCATTCATATAAAAAAGGTCACCATAATCTAAGACGGATAAAAAAGTGGCAGAGACAAGGCGCCTTTTAACCCCAAAAGAAAAACACGTCTTATTTGGAAAGAAAAACCCAGCTTCATGTTTAATTTCCTCACAAGTGCATGGATAAAAGGTTTAAAAGTGAGGGCGTCATGGATGATAAGTCCTAGGTATTTGTATTCATGCAGCACTTCAATGACATTCTCCTCAGAGTGGAGCCCACCATTTTGCCATGTGCATCGAGCCACTAGCAGAAAGGATTAGGATGAATAGAACAATAAAAGGAGTGACGGTCATCGATGAAGAACATAAATTAGCATTATACGCCGATGACATCATGGTGTATTTGACAAATGGGAAAGAATCCTTGCCAACTCTAATAGAAGAAATAAGGCTGTATGGGCTAATATCTGGTTATAAACTGAATCACAATAAAACTGAAGTTATGGAGATAGGAGAGCCACTAGACCTTGATTTTAAAAAACAATTTAAACTAAAATGGTCATGTGACAAAGTTAAATATCTTGGAGTTAACATACCAAGTAAATTAGATAAACTTTATGAAACCAATTACTATACCCTTCACACATCAATAAAGCGAGACCTTATCAGATGGAAAATGATCCCCCTAACTATTTTTGAAAGGGCTAAACTTATAAAAATGAACATTTTGCCCCGATACATCTTCCTTTTTCAGAATTTACCTCTCTATTTGGACAGACACATTTTCAAAGCATGGGAAGGACAACTCAGAAGTTTTATTTGGGATGGGAAAAAACCCAGAGTAAAAATGAAAAACCTCCAAAGAGAGAAAGAGAAAGGGGGCTTAGCGCTTCCTGACCTGGCAAACTACTTTCTCGCATCACAAATGAAAACAATATTAGATTGGATAAATGCACAGAAAAACACACAATGGAAACAGATTGAGGGAAAAATTATCAAAATACTTGGCACCCTCCCCTTCACCAACTTTAAAACTAAAGAATACAAGGAGAAGAGCTTCACAGTATACAACTCGCTGAGGATATGGAAAGAAATATGCAAGAAATTTAATGTGATAAAACAAGACACCATCCTTCTCAGAGAAATAACTCAAGACCCACAATTCAAGCCAAACCTTACAGACAAAGGATTCAATACTTGGAAAATGAAAGGAGTGCAAAGATACCATCAACTCTACAGTGACCAAGGAATCAACTCATTTGAAAACATTGCAAGAAAATACCACATTCCAGTGAATAATTTTTATCGGTATCTTCAAGTGAGAAGTTACCTAAAAAACAATACAAATAATAAACAAGTAGATGAACTTCATGCTCTCATACGTTACTTAATCCAAAAGAGTAAAGGAGAAAAGCATAAAGTTATTAAAGAGATATATACCATAATGCAAGAGCATCAGAAACATAATAGTGAAATAACCAAGGTGAAGTGGGAAAATGAACTAGACGAAAGAATTGAGAACGACAAGTGGTACGAAAGTATAAAGGCAAACCACTCACACATACGATCACCATATTGGCAAGAGTTTGCTTGGAAACTACATTTGAGGTTCTTCCAAACACCTAAAGCAATCTCGAAGTACACAAAGAACAAGAACCTGGGAGAGTGTTGGAGGAAGTGCGGGGAGAAAGAGGTGGACTACAGACATATTTTTATGACTTGTCCGAAAATCCAAGACTATTGGACCGAGGTGAAATCAAATATTACACTAGTACTTAGACACATAAATCTACACAGCGATAAAACATTATTACTGGGTATATTAACTCAGAGAATGAAGAGAAGAGAGGAATACCTGTTCTGGATAATGCGAATAACCGCCCTCAAACAAATCACCAAGAATTGGAGAACAACCAGCATCCCCAAAATCCAAAACTGGATGGAAGCAATTCAAGAGGTTCAGCTAATGGAGAAACTGTCACACAAAATGAATAATGAGGAAGATGAATTCAGGAGAAAATGGCACACC